TATATATATATATATATATATATATATATCATTTCTGTTCTTTAAATCTATACATGAAAATATGTATTTTACTATTAAAAAATGATAATAGTGTTATTTTTAATGTGAAATTAAAGATTTTAGTACCATGTGTGTAAATATGAAACTTTATATATGAGACATGTAAATATATAAGAATCATCTGTTATGTATGTAAATACCTAAAAAAAAGTTATGATGATGCAAATGAATTTCAAGCTCAAATACAAAACAATTGAAAGTCTTGATAGATACAAAATAAGATTGACAGTAAATTGATATACTTAATAATATAAAATTGTCTACTATTAAAATTTTGCTCATGTTATAAAAAAAAAAATTGTAAACTAATATTTCTATTGGCAAATTATGGGTGATGTATACAACAATATTATGTAAAAATATGTTTTTACATGTGATCTCGAAAAAAAGGTTGTTTGAATTCACAATCAGGATTTGATAATTCCAAAAAATATTAGATATGTTGATCGAATGAAATCTTATTGAACTGAAATAATCACCAAAAGCTTGGTTTGATGGATTTACAAATGTTGCGGAAGGAGTTGGATGTAAATAAAACCAAAGAGATTATACTCTCTTCATAAAACACTCATATGATAGTAAATTCTCAATCTTTATGATATGTATATTGATAATATGATTGTTAAAGGGAGTAATAATAGAGAGAAAGAAGCTCTTAGAAAAGAATCATTTAAAATCAAATAGTTAAAAAAAACTCGTACTTCTTGGGATTAAAAATGGTCTAATTCAAGGGATACTTTTCTTCCAATAGAAATATGTTATGAACATGTTGAACAAAATCAAAATAATAGAATGCATGTTATATGGAGCTTCGATTGAACCATTATAAAAGTAAAATGGTGATGAACAAAGAACAGATGTAAATATAGAATAATATTAAAGACTAATAGAAAAATTAATCAATTTATCTTATATTTTTCCTAACATTGTATTCTCAAAAAGTCTAGTTAGTCAATTCATGCACAAATCTAAAGATGCACAAATCTAAAGAGTTGCACGTTGAATCTATCTATATAATTTTCAAATATTTTAAGTCAAACTTATGAAAGTTTATTATATGCAAAAGGCATGATATCACACAAATCAATAGAAACACATGGGAAATATGTTTAATCATCAGTGAATAGAATGCCCACTTAAAAGTATTGTATATTTGTAGAAGAATATCTCATGACCTTGAGAGGTGAGATAATATGTATTTTCAAGATCCAAGTGATGAAGCTAAATTTAGAGCTATTACCTAAGAGATTTGTGAGCTTCTATGAATCCAAATTATTAGAAAAGTCTATAAAAAAATATATTGTGATAACAAATTGATTGTCTATGTTGCACACTATTTAATACAATATGATCATTATTCTTCTCTATAGGATCATCATCCTTTTCTTATTATTTTCTTTTATTTTATTTATTTATTTATTTATTTATTTCTATTTTATAACTCCTCTAAGACATGTATGCATATCTTCCCTCTTATATAGAGAAATGATAATGAAAATTTTATAGAATTTTCTCCATTATTTTATTTTCTACTTATGATATCTATAACGAACATAAAATTATTAGATTACTTTAAAACTATGTATATGCGCGTGTTATAAAATGCATTATATAATTACATTTTAATTTTCATAAGATATATTTAGTATAATAAAATAGAAATTATATAAATTGCCAAAGTGCATAAATTATTTTAAAATATTGTTATATAGTTGTAATATGGACATAATATTTGATATTTGATATTACTTTCATTTATGAATCTAATGTTTTGTATAGTTGGAATGTTTTGCAACTGAAAATAATTAGGCTTGAGGTACAAAAGATTTACGAAAATTTAACGATATTCGGTGAAAAAATTATATTTACTTTATATATATATATATATATATATAAAATAAATTAAGTCAAGGAATATGAGATCGATAACGTGGGTAATTAGTTGATTAATTCCTCATCCATGTGGAGTTTATCCTTAAGTCACTCCAAAGTAAGGCCTTAAAAGTCTTTCGTTTCATTTATAAATATGTTTATTATTATCAAATTTTTATATATCATTATGATTTAATTAATTCATTAATTAATTTTTTATTCATATTTTTATTAGATTATGTGTACCAACTTGAAAGCCTATTTTTATCTTATAAAACTAATTATTTTGTTGAACCTATGGAGATTCATAATGAAACTTTCTTAACCAGTTTTATAATAGGATTTTTTTTTTGTTAATACTTTTTTGTGGATACTAATATATTCTTAATATTAGAGAGAATTTTTAATTCTTATTAAATTCTTGAGCATATGCATACATACAAGCACACACACGGTTCAAAGATCAATCATCAGACGAGTTAATCAATTGCGCCGCAAGGAATTAATATTTGTTTTAATAAATTGTTTTTGGTTATTTTTTGGAAGATTTATAACAAAAGTTTTAAATAATTAAATGAATCAATTTTTTAAGTTTATTGAACATGTTTTCTTAATTCATTTAGCAAAATAGCTATATATAGTTTTTTTATTTATTTTAATCAACATGTGAAAGACGAATGCAGCTTGCATGAAAAATTAACTGTCTAATTAAGTCAACAAGTCATTAAACAATCATTTACTTATCTTAGTTTGTACTTAACCAAAAAAAATCATAATAAATAAATATTAGTATAATTGTGATCAGCCTTGTACGTTTATTATCAACATGTTAAATATATTTGCAAATAATAATAATAATGATTGTTATAAGAATGCGTTAAGATTTGTTATGCTAAAAAAAAAATCATTAACAGAAATTTACATTTTTTTATAAGATTTGAGCCAAAATATAGGCTTCTATTTATAGGTAAAAACTAGAAACAATCAGCCAATTTTATTTCTAGTGTTTTTGAGAGAGTTGGAAGAATGAAGACGAATGGTTGTAAAAATGGAGGTGCTCTGCTGCCTCTTCTAACATTTCTCTGCTCAGTAATCTCAGCCTTCGCCGGCAGCTGGATGCCTGCCACCGCCACCTTCTACGGCGGAAGCGATGCCTCCGGCACAATGGGTAATCAATATTATAGCTATTATATTTAGTTTATATCATCTAAATCTTTCATATCATATCAAACATATCATCTTATTGACTTTTGAGATGTGGAACACACCTTTTCATATATAAATAAGGTGCCTTTAGCTATATGAAAATACATTAGAATTGAGCATCGTTCTGTTCTGCAACTACTGTAGGAGGAGCTTGCGGCTATGGAGACCTGTACAAAGATGGATATGGAATTAAGAACTCAGCGCTGAGCACTGCGCTCTTCAACGATGGAGCCTCTTGTGGAGAATGCTTTCAGATTGTGTGCGACGCCAAGAAGTCTCCTCAGTGGTGTAAACGAGGCACTTTTATCACTGTAACAGCCACCAATTTTTGCCCTCCGAATACCAATCTACCCAGCGATAATGGCGGATGGTGCAATCCTCCGAGACAGCACTTTGATATGTCTCAGCCTGCTTGGGAGACCATCGCCATCTATAAAGCTGGGATCGTCCCTGTTTTATACAGAAGGTCGTAATTACAGGAAACTGGAATATTTACATATATACCATTTTTAATTTTATGTTTTCACATATCTAACAGTCAAAACTCCAATTTTTACATACTTGACGTTTTACCTATGCATGAAAATCTGTATTTCATTTTTTAGAATTTAAAATGGTGGCATATTTTATATATTATGAAAGATTTGGGTGATATAAATGTAAAAAATAAAATATAGGTGTTAGAGATGTAAATATATAGGATTTGGGTGGTATGTAGGCAGAATGTTACTCTCTGATTCAAAACGGAGGTTGTAGATTGCAGTCTTCCCAAAAACTTTTCTTTTTTTTTGGTAATGGATTCATTATATGCTGTAAATCCGAGATTTCTAAGCAAAACAGTGAAGGAATTGTGAAAAACTAAAATTTACCAAATCCCAGACTTAAAAGTTGCATTTTTTACTTACAAAGAACACAACTTTTAAATTTGGACACAGCACTCAAATGAGCTTTATGACAGCAGGGTTCGGTGCAGAAGGAGCGGAGGTGTGAGATTCACCATTAATGGAAAGGATTACTTCGAACTGGTTCTGATAAGCAACGTGGGAGGGAGCGGTAGGGTTAGCAGCGTGTGGATCAAAGGCTCCAAGACAGATTGGATGATAATGAGCAGAAACTGGGGTATGAACTGGCAGAGCAATTCTTATCTTAATGGCCAGAGCCTCTCCTTCAGAGTTCAGACTGATGATGGAAAACTCAAAACTTTCAGTAATGTCGCCCCTTCAAACTGGAATTTTGGCGACACTTTTGTTACCTCGATTCAGTTTTAAGATTCAGTTCGGCCATATTCTTCTTCGTTTGATATATCTGTGAGTTTTTCATTTAGTTCTTTTCAGATCAGGAACTGAAGGCGTTATGAAAGTTCTGATTTATTTGGTTCATGCAATTAATAATGAAGATTTGCATACATTTCACATAATTCCTAAGTCAGTATTTACATATCTAATACCTAAATTTTAATTTTTATATATTGATGCCACCTTGCTTTTACATAAAAGGTGTATTTCATACTTTTAAAAGTTAAAAAAGTGGTATTTTTTATGTGAGACGAAAGATATGGGTGCCGCAAATTGAAAAAGTAGTTTAGATGTTACATATGCAAATACATAGGAAGTGGGTGGTATGTATGTAAATGCCCTAACGCAAAAGTGGTGTAGTTTATAGGAGTGACGCTGAGTTCTAGACCGTTTATGTGAAAGCCTAGACAGATTATGCATACAATTTTGAAACGGGGTATTTACACACATACCGCCCAATTCATATGAATTGAAATATCTATCATCTAAACTTTACTTTTTTACATTTATACCACCCAAATCTTTCATATCTCATAAAAAAACAAGCAATTTGTGTGCCACCCCTGACCCGGAGAAATTATTGCGTGCGGACACTGCATGCATCTCTGCATGCGGTGTCCGATCCTTTTTTTTTTTTAAAAATTAGGTGGGGCCCACCGAAATACATCCGGTCCGTAGATCAGGTGATGTAAGGTCCGGATCGGACACCGGCGTGCGGTGTCCGATCCGTATGGAATAATTTTTCCTTGACCCGACATACTAGCTCGTGAGCTGCCATGCTCAAATTGTCAGTTAAAATTAAGCTTAAGATAAATTGTAATTCAATGATTTGAGGATAACATTTTTAAACTATTCAAAACGATTTATTTTTTTTATCTCAATTAGTATTTATTAGTACTTCTTTAATTTCTACTTTTAATCATTTTATGATAATGGCGGCCTGAATCAAAATTGTCTTCAATCATTCACATTAAATGAACCAACTCGTGAGCCAACTTGAAATCATAGAGTTGAACGTGAACTTGAGCTCAATTAACCAATCAAGCTCAAGCTAAGAGTGACTCAAGCTCAATTTTGACTCAATCGAACTTTTGTTTTAAACTTAATGACATTCAAGGATTAATTTTACTTTAAATTTCACATCAAAATATTTTTAAAATCCATATATTAATAATAGTGGAATCATTTATATTTATTTTGAAATTATTTACCATAAATCATGCTCAAATCCTGCCACCAAATAACGCGCCTATAGTGGGTGGGCCGATGGGGGTCATTGCATTGACCAAGACTTTGATGGCCAAATAATTCCTTATCAAATTTTTGTGAAGTCAACCATGATCTTATGAGCTATACAATAAAATTTAGAAGGAAGATTTACTACTTACCATGTTAACTAAGCAGAGTACATCCTAAATACACTCAATATATTTGCGAAACATAGGAGAAATGAGAATTCAAACTCTATTGGAATATATATATATATATATATATATATATATAGAACATAATAACAATTTTTTACGTTATATGAAAGATTTAGTTAGTAGAAATATAAAAGGTAAAAAAAGTAAAGTTTAAATGTTAGATATGTAAATAGATAGGAATTGGTTGGTATATATGTAAATGCCGTAATGTAGAGGTAATGTTGTTTATAAAAGGAGTGACGCTACTGTTTAAACGTAAGCAATAAAAGTTGTTGATGACCATAAAAAAGTATTTTTTATTTTTATTCCAAACATGGGGAATTAATATTGCAAACATCACGAGATAATTATGTGGAAGTTTCATCAAGACGCCGGTCTTTTATAAGGCTTGAATAAAAAACTATTATTTTAATAGTAACCCCAAAATAATGGTAGTCTAATTCATAATTTTGACCCAAACAAAAATTAAAAAAAAAAAAAAAAAACTTTTATATTCTGCTGACTTGATACATCTCCAACAAAATCATTTCATGATATGATTCAGGGAACCAAATAATTGCTAAATCTTGCATGATTTTATTCTATTTGAGCGTCACAATGAGTTATATCACTCAATTTGATGTCAATGAGATACTTAAATGTCTCCATAGTTATATATAATCAAGAAGATTAATAAAAGTAGTGCAATGAAGATTAAAATGACACTCCAAGAAATTATAAAATGACGCTTCTTCTAGACATGGTCATTTAGCATGGGAGAGCCCTAATATAATTGAATGAACCATGGTGTCATGGCTTGGGTATCATCTCCCATCCACCATTGTTATTAGCGTAGATGCATACAGTGGACACCAACATCGACACTCGCCAATGCCAACAACAGGTACATCCATCATTGCCACCAAGGTTAATATGAATCATTGACAATATTATTCATGCATGCTCGCTAATGCCAACAAAATTATCGTCTGATGTCAACAATAACATCCACACTTTTTTTGCCAATAAGATTATTATAAAATGTTAATAGTAACTCAGATTCTTGTTGAAACTAACAATGGTTGTCTCTTATTTTAGGGACCAATGATGCTTCAATGATGCCAACAAGTTTGTCGCTCATCGTTTAAGCTAGCATTGATGCCCACCATTGCTAACAGGGGTGGAACTAGCTTATATTGTAAGAATGAACAAACTTATTATATAAATAAACTAAGATTGAAAAAAATAGTTAAATATTTTTATTATTATTTTTAAATTTGTAAGTTACAAGCATCGATTTTCGTATTTTTTGCTTGTGCACTGAACACCAGTCTAGACAAAATTGATCTTTTGAATGCGCTCGCGCTGTCAGTTTTGTCATCTGAGATTATCTAGACAAATTTGTTGACGATCGAGCGTTTGATTTGCCTGCGACATGATGAATGTGGTATTTTGGTGTGATCGAAGGAGTCTGACAGGAAAAATGTTGACCAACATTCGCCTAAGCGAAAACCAAAGTCCAGTAGCCAAGAAACATACATCGGTCAACTGAATCGCCCATAGAAAATCTACCTTTCGATTAAAGTCGTCCAATAAACAAATGTCGATCGGCCTTCGTCTAAACAAAAGTCAAAGCCTACCAGAACAAATCTAGCAGCGTGCCACTCAACACTCACCGAAGAGTCTAAAAAATGGATGTCTTGAGCTCTGGGATGCTAGGTATGCATGAAATATACTCTCTAGTCATTCAAGTGGACATCCAACGCACGTGACAACAAAAAGTGATGCCAACAAAGGAATTTGGCATTCAGGTTACTCAACCAACACCTTTATACTGTGACAACATCTATGCAATTCCCTTGGCTAAAAATTCGATATTTTCAAGCGAGAACCAAACACAGAGAGATTGATCACCATTTTTTAGGGGATCATATTCAACTGAATCACAGTAAAATTGTAATATAATCAATCAAAAAATCAACCAGCAGACATACTAATAAATGCTCTCTCGAAATTGTTAAAACTCAGAATAATGTGGTGGAATACACACCTTTTCATTAATATGAATGGGATTATAAATAACCCTTACAATAATCTTGTAAAAGGAAAAATAATAAAAGGTAAATGATATGAAAGGAATGGTATAACACTTAATATCTCTAATAATTAATTCGTATTAATTATTAGGAGATATAGGAAATAACGTAAAATAGGAAAATAAATATATCATTAATTCTAAGGAAATAATTTATTTACAAGAATAAATTATTTCCTATCATAACTCTAATTCTAAGGAAATAATTTATTTATAAGAATAAATTATTTCTTATCATAACTCCTAACACTCCCCCTCAAGTTTGGAATGTATGTTAACAATTTTTAACTTGTTGAGTAGTATCGAGAACTGAGAAGAGTTTAGTGGTTTTGTGAAAACGTCCGTTGACTGTTCTAAAATAGACACATGAGTCAACTTTATTATTCTTTTTTGAACTTTCTCACGTATGAGATGACAATCAATCTCAATATGCTTTGTTCGCTCATGGTATATCGGGTTCGAGGCGATGTGAAGTGTTGTTTGGTTATCATAAAATAAATTGGTAGGATGTGAATGCATGATCCCCAAATCTTGCAAAATTGTTCTTAGCCAAATAATCTCGCAGCAGATAGTGGCCATGGACTGATATTCAGCTTTTGCACTAGAGCGTGATACTGTGGTCTGTTTCTTGGTTTTTCAAGAAATTAATGAACTCCCAAGGAAGATACAATACTCAGTAACTGATCTTCGAGTGTCACGACACCTAGCCCAATCTGCATCACAAAAAACATTTAGTTGGGTTGAGCTTTCTGCCGAGAGGAAAATTCTTTATCCTGGTGTTTGTTTTATGTAACTTAGAATGTGATGGGTTGCTTCTAAGTGTGGCACTCGTGGTTTGTCCATAAATTGACTTAAGACATGAACTGCATATGTCAAGTCATTACGCGTGATAGTCAAGTAGATTAATCTCCCAACTAGTTTTCGGTATGATGATGCATCACTGACATATTCTCCCTCTGATTTGCTAAGAGATAAGTTTTGTTTCATAGGAAAAGTGGCTGGGTTTGCACCGAGGTACCCAACATCCTCGAGTATTTCAAGAGCATACTTTCGCTGTGAAAGTGCAATACCCTTCTGGGATTGCGCAACCTCAATACCAAGGAAATATTTCAATTGTCCAAAGTCCTTTAATTTGAATTGGTTTTTCAATGATATTTTGACATGTTTGATTTCTTGTAAGTCGTTCCCTGCAATGATGACATCATCTACATATATAAGAAGAGCGATGAATTTACGATGAATTGATCGGACGAACAAAGAATAGTCTGCCTTTGATTGCATAAAATTGGCTTGCTTTAGAGCGGTGGAAAGCTTAATGAACCATTGTCGTGAAGCTTGTTTGAGACCATATAATGATTTGTGGAGTTTACAAACTCGAGTCTCCCCCTTTCATCCTAGGTCAGGAGGTAGTGACATATATACGTCTTCATCGAGATCTCCATGCAAGAAAGCATTGTTGACATGTAGTTGGTGAAGATG